TGAGGAGAAAATTTGACAACCAGAGTATTACTGCTAGAAGTACCCTTTCCTTGGTTCATGACAGCCTCAACTAAAGTGGACGAGATACTTGCAGGAAGGCCTAGGGCAGTTGATCTTAACATGCAGGCAGTTTATTCATGAAAATAGTGCTCCTTTATTTATTTGGGTCTGAAGAAGTTCAGGATTTTGAAGTTTAAATGACAACACCTTGAACAGGGCTTAGAAGTAAACAGCCAGTAAAACCCTTAAAATTGATATAGTAAGATGAATCAGGGCAGGCAGAATTCTAGCAACCATATCTGTACTAGTTGAAAATTCCAAACCATCTTCAACAGCAGCTAAAAATGTTGTACATACTGCAGTAATGCAACCTTGCAGGGTACAGAGCATGGATAGCTTTTATATACATATTTTAGGAAGCTTTCCACAAATATCAATTCATCAGAAAAAAGCAGGTTTATAGTTTTGAAAGTAGTATTAATCTATGTAGTTTCGGTAGCATTTTTACTCTGCATAACCAACCTTTGATATAACTTGCTCTTGTTTTTGAAGAGTGCCAGTTTCTCATCATTCACCCTGTCAAAGTATATTCCCAGCACAAATCCTAAAGGAACCAATGTCATGGGCCAGTGATCTCGTACAAGTTGAATAATATTCACCATAGTTACTAAAAGGAAAGAGGACAAATACAAATGTCAAGCAGAACAAAATATTTAAATCATCTGTAAGAATTTTTCTCCTGTAGAAAACATGACTTGTAATTATTTCCTTCAGTCTGTTTGGATTGCCTACTGCCAAATAAACCTCACTAGTCCACAAGGACTACCAGGTAACACCAAGCAAACTGGAGCTGGCACTGAGTTAACCATTTTTTCATAAAAATCATGTGCACAAAATTGAAACAATAAAATCCAAAAACTACAAGCCATGCAAAAAGCATGTCACATCTGATCCATGTGCAATAGACATACCAGATGCTGGTATAAATTATAGATGTTGTGTGTGAATTTGTAATGACTGAAATGGAAAAAACCCAGTCAATAAAGATTAATTAAGGGTGCAGAAAAAACCTCAAAAGTATCACTTTATACAAATTATTTACTCCTAAGATTCTCCACTTCTTTTCTTTCTTAGTCATGGTAATTAAACTGTGGTGATGACATGGATTATGTGGACATTCTAATTTGAAATAATGTAAGGGTGTTGCTAAATCAGATTAAATGTCAATCTAGTTCTGCATCCCATGCATCCAGTTTCACACAAGTCTGCCAGATAGCCATGGGGAAAGCCACAAGCAGGGCTTGACCAGAACAACCCTCTCCTGCTGTTGCCCATATTCTATGGCACTCTGTCTCCGTCTAGAAATTCCATTAAGCAATTATGGCAATGGGTTCAAGTGTATGCACATTGGCTCACAGGAAAATGCTGAGAATTGTAGGGCTTTTTCGCCTGAACATGCATAGGATTGCACCCTAAACCTTTTGGTAAACGGACAAATCTCTGCAGTGGGTAGTGATACACAGAATACCAGAATTACCATACAATATCAGCTAAAAGAACTACAGGTACAGCACTGCAGAGTTAATAAGTCTGCAGTCCTATGAACACTCTCGCGAATGTACACACCATTAAAATTAGCACAACTTCTGAGCAAGACCTGTGGGTCTACCCCGCTTTACGGTGCTACCCTACTCATATCTACCCTACTCATACCTACTCAGACGTAAGCCCCATTTCAACTAAGTTCAGCCTCAAGGTGTGTGTACAATCGCATCCATAAAAGCAGCAAGTGTAAGATCGAGGGTGGAAATTAATCTGAATCAGCCCCGGGATACATACTATACCTAACATTGAAAAACTGAATTCGCACAATCCCCCTCGCCCCGTTATTTACTTCACTATCCCCCGGTTCGACTTCCCCGCTTTGACTTCCAAGCCACTTACTCCTCCTTTTTCTCAAAAGATACCTACTCCCACCGGTCACTAGGCCTAAACCTGCCTTCGACCAGACGAGGCCTAACGAAGGGCACTCAGAAGCATTCTACGAGTCGGGAGGAACCATTCACAGAGACGAGCCAGGGGAGAAAGGGAGGGTGGAAGGGAGGGTGGAAAAAAATTTCTGCCACTCACAGCACGCTTAACAGTGTTCAAACGCGTCTGAAAAAAGGATCGAAAGACGAATGCAGACGGGTACTTTAATTACGATGCTACCGATACCTTAATCTGTTTTTCACCTCTAAAGCGGACCGATAGTACAGTCTGGGAACCGGTTTGCTTTCCGCTGAGGCTCCTCCCCCTCCCAGAGCGCCTGCCGGTTTTTCCCTGTCCCGAATCAAAATGGCGGCGGTTGTAAGAAATGCTGAGTGTGGTTGAGGAGGCTCGTGTTTCTTTTTTTCTTCCCCTTGGCCTGTCAGGTCTTCGATAGGTTTAGGGGCTGGGAGTTAACGAGGGGCTACTGTACAGGTAAGGGCATACATGAAGCAACGAGGCGTGGGGTGGGGGAGGCAGAGTGACTCCCTTCCCGCTTCCCTGAATGTGGCTCACATACATCCCTGAGGAAACATGACTTACCAGTTCCCGCCTTTCTTGTGATGGGTATCTAGGGTCGCGACTGCCGGGGAGGTTGAGACAGAAGGGCTTTCTTTTCTGTGGCCCAGGCAAAGAGAACCTGCGACTGCTTCTCACGTGTATTGTGGCGGGTAGCCCAATCCTTTGAAAGGCGCTCCTGAGCTCTCTGGCTAGCACAGAATCCTAAGATCTTTAACTAGAAAGCAAGTCCCATTGAACCCAGTGACTCTAAAGCAGAGAAAGCTGCAAAAGATAGGATTCTAAGTGTAAATGAACCCGAAATACATACATTTAGATGTTTAACGTGGGTGGGTGACAGTTGCTTGATTTTGTCGCATTTAGTGGAAGAGCAGCAGTAAGATCCAGCTCCAGGGGAGCGTAGTAGCTTTATTGCCATGTAACCTATACAGCTGCCTGTCAAGGAGTCATCCTTTAACAGTCTGGTCCTATGCAGCAGAGCATCCCAACGTGATCAAAAATAAGACATTGACAGTATTTTGAAGCCTACCAAGGAACTGGTGGAAGGGTATGCTGAAATCTTGACTTGAGGATAGTTTCAGATCTGGAGGGGAAATTTTCCTTTTCCCTACCTGTTTTATTACCCTAGCTGTATTTACTTTAAGTCTTGGAGCCCCACAAAGAGATGCAAGAGGCTGTTTGTTTAACCCTTTTGCAATGATTGCACTTTAAATTGCTGTACACATGCACTCACCTTACTGAGATTGAGTGACAACCCACTTTTTGATGTACAGGTCTGCTGCTGTCATGTCTAGTTTATCCATAGTTATGTGTATAGGAATGCATCCTGACACATGTGTTCATCGGGTGAGGTAAGACATTTTATCATACAATGCTGCTATTGTGCAAAATAGGGAGTTCAACTCTTAATACTTAGTGTAGTTCAAACTTGCATGTATATAGTAGCTTTCGTGTTTCTTAGATTAATCCCTTGAGGATTTAGATGAAAACAATTCAGGCTGATTTATTTTGTTTTATGCTAGCTCTTACATGGCAGTGTAGTGGTGTTCGATTGGGACTTAGGTCATTTAGGTTCAAGGTCCTTCTCAGACCATGAAGCTCACTGGGTGACTTTGAGCCAGTCACTAACTCTCAGGCTAATCTACCTCGTAGTTGTGGTTGTGAGGATAAAATATAGAGGATGAGGACCATGTAAGCTGTCTTAAATTTGTTGCAAAATAAATTGAGTGCTATGCTATAACACAAACATGGCAGGAATGTAATTGGTAGTGTATAAAATCTATCTTAGGATGCAAATACCAACTTGCTATAAGAGATAATAATGTTTGAATAACAGGCTATCATAGGAAAAAAAACCCTTACGATGGCTTGCACATGCACAAATCCAGTTATTGAAGCCTAGGGTGGAGTAGTTAATAAATTAATTTTTCTTCACCTATGTGGTCACTTTTTAGTAAACTCATGATTCATACATGCATCTTGGAAAGTGCATCTTCATGACAAGGGTAAGGGAACAGAGAAAATAGGAATTACTACAGTGAAAGACTTGGGAAGAATGGTTTGTCAGGTTCTAAGTTGAACCTACACCCTGTCATCAGAGAGTGATATTTCACTTTCAGTTCGATTTTCTTCAGTTTCCTTGATCCAAATTGAAACATATATATCTGAATGAAAGATTTTTCTTATATAAGTGGACTTGTGTGTCTGAGTTCTGCACCACTGCCTTGAAGCATCATATAGTGCCTCTGCATACATTTAATGGCCTCTTATGCTCTAATATTTAAGTTGTAACAGGCTTGATTTTATGTATTTGGCAGAAACAAGTAACTATAAATGTTAAAAGGAAAATATTTGTACTCATTAACAAACCAATAAGATGAATGGAGTATGTGTGTGATGGGTGAGTATATATATTTCAGGAACTCATGGAAACAAATTACCTGCTTTAAGACAAAATAGCTTGGTTCAGATGAAAAGTCATTATGGGCATGGGGCAAGTACATGCCCCCTACTTTACTTTTTATTTTTTTGTTTCCAGGGAAAGCTCTGGTTTGAGTTGGTCTAGAACCTACTTGTTTGTCTTTTTGTCAGGGTATTTACAAAAGTCTTCTGCAGCAGCATGTTCCAAATGCATTAATTTCCTTCTTGTCAACTTGCTTTACTGTCCAGCTTCCATACCCACACACAGTGATTGGGAATACAACAGGATCTTGTCCTTGGTCTTCAATTAAACATTCTTACATTTGATGACTTTAATTTGTTCCTTCATTGTTGCTATTTCAAGTCTCAGTCTTTGAATTTCTTGGCTACAATCTCCCTTTGAGTTGATGATTGAGCTGAGGTATGTAAAATCTTTCACAGTTTCAGTTTCTTCCTTGTTAACACTAAAGTTCTGAAATACTTCTATAGTCATGATTTTTGTTTTCTTAGTTTTCATCTGCCTTTTTCTTTCTTCTTTCACTTTCATCAGGAGTTGTTTCAAGTCATTGTTGCTTTCTCTCAATAGCACAGTATCATCTACATATCTTAAATTATTGATGTATCATCTGCCAATTTTCACTCCTTCCACTGATTCTAGCCCAGCTTTTCTTAAAATATATTCTGCACACAGATTGAAGAGAGAGATAAAATATACCTTTGTCTGACATCTTTGTCTAAGGGGAACCATACTGTTTCTCCATAGTCTATCGTAACAGTAGTTTCTTGTTCATGATACAGGTTACACATCAGGATGCTCAAGTGCTCAGGCACTCTCATTTCTTTCAAATGTCTCTTGTGATCAACACAATCTGATGCTTTGCTGTAGTCTATAAAGCACAAACTGATCATCTCCTGAAATTCTTTGGTGCACTCCATTAGCCAATGAATATTTACAGTGTGATATCTAGTACCTCTTCCTTTTCAGAATTCAACTTGAATGTCAGGAATTTCTCACTCCATATAGTGTTGTATTCTTTGTTGCAATACCTTGAGTATCACTTGCCCTGGGAAATTAGTGCAACAGTTCTATGGTTGCTGCACTCCTTTGCATCTCCTTTCTTGGGCATTGGAAAGTATGGAATGTTTCCAGCCTGTGGACCATTTCCATATTTGTTGGCATACCTTCATTAAGATTTGAACTGATTCATTCTCTTCAGCTTGGAATAGTTCTATTGGTATCCTGTCTACTCGATGTGCTTTGTTCCTTCCATGTACTTTCAGAGCAGTTTTCACTTCATTTTTTAATATTGCATGCTCTTTCTAATAGGATTCCTCCACAGGAGTCTGTCATCCTTTCATCTCTTTTGTATATTTTTTCTGTATATTATTTTCACCTTCTCTTTATTTTCTCCAGGTCAGATAGTGTCTCTCGTTTGACTTTTAACATTCCTAATCTAGAGTTGATTGTGCAATTGCTATAGGCTAAGCCTTTTCCCTGTCCATGGCAACCCATGCCAGTTAAAATTAACTCTACTTCTATTGCAAGGTGTTGCATGCTTGCCTGTGATTGACTTTTAGGGACAGTTATGTGTGGGTGATACCTATAACATTTAATGTACTATAAATAGATAATATAGAATTTCTAAAATTCAGTGCAGTTTATGTTCAGCATAACTATAAATATACCATTTTTGGATTTTAGAGCACATTTTATTCTCTTACTGTAACTACTTCTCCTGAGCATTTTCTGGATTAAAAATGACATCAATTATCAAGCTAACCACCCTCTCAGGGGTGCAAGAAGAATCTGCACTCTGCTACTTACTCCAGGTGGATGAGTTTCGCTTTCTGCTGGATTGTGGCTGGGATGAGAATTTTTCCATGGACATCATTGATTCCCTGAGGAAGTAAGTAGAATCTGGCTTTATTACCATGCTGTTCCTTTGTAAATAATTCTAATACACTTTTTGTAATTACTGCATTTTATATATCTTAATATAAGGTGATCTTAGTGGTTACCTATGGGCAGTTTCAGTGATCAGATCCCAGTAGTAAAAATGCAAGGTGTATAATAAACAGCTTGTGTTTATGTGAATAAAATTCACATATGATTTTTTTTTCTTTTCATATGTGAAGTTAGCTGTCCTGAAAATTTTCACAATAGTCCCTTTATGTTTGCTTCTGAATTGTTACAAATACCCCAACAGTATGTTTAAATTGTTCGTGGCAACAATGTTAGCAAAAATCTTCTGGGTCAGAATATAAAGAAAAAATATATGCACCAGCTAATGAGTAACTAATTAGATGCATTTACTCTGATCCACAGAGTAAAGACATTATGAGCATGGGGACAACTGCACCTTGTCTCCAACTTACTATGTGTTCCCATGCATTTAGAAAACAAAAGCAAGTCTCTTGCTTTGAGTTCTGCATGTGGATATTATACATGCAGTGTTCTGCATGCTGAATAGGAGCAAATATGCAGTACTACTATGTATGGGTGATTCTGTTTTAATTGCAAGAATGGCTTATGATGTATGCTTAATTTGTCTGTATTCATTGATTTTGCTTTTGTGTTATAGGTGAGTGGTCACTGAATGATTATAAACCAAGTTGTTGAGCC